AAAAGTCCCTTTAGACCAATTCTTGGCTTTGTTCCTTGGATCGTATATTGATGAACAAAGGAGGGGCACCAAAGGGCTTATTTTGGGGCCCCACTCACCAAAACCAATTTGGTTAACATATAAATCAGGTGAAATAAATGGGACAATTTTTCATTGCCACTAACAATTACTATATAGGCAAGTTCAAGGGCTCAAAGTGTCTTTTTCTGCATTGCATCCAACTAAAATTGAAAAGGTTGTGTGCAAGTTGCTTACGTTATCCCAACAAGGTGTGATGGTGATGGTGATATCCTCACCTGGACAACCCATTTAATTTTGACTCGCACAAACTTAATTCTGCAGGTATATTCTTGAAATGGTAAGAAAAAAATTGTGGCAAGTTATATGTGAAGGGATTATGCTGGCAAGGGAATTTTTCTCGTGGTATTCATATTTAGAACATGATCAGATAACTTTTTTTCCTCCCACGTTAAATGTATGTCAGGTTTAGCATTAGGATTAAGGGAGAGTGAAAGAGATGAACTTTGTTCATTTCTTATGTATTTTTATCATATTCGTGGGGACACAGGATTTTTTTTCCCAAGTGTAAAACCAACTATCGGCAAAAATTCAATTTTGGTCCCCTAATTTGTCTATTGTCCACTTTTGGTACACTATCTTTCCCCTCATAAAAAATGGTCCATTATGTTACATTTTTCATCAGTTTTAGTACGCTACTCTAGTTGGCGGGATTACAAGATGACGTGGACCGGGATTGGAACTACGTGGAGGGATAAGATATTGACGTGGTAGGATAAAAACTTGATTTGGCATCTCGTAATCCCGGGCCACGGGATTAGTGTACTAAAACTGATGAAAAGTATAACATAATGGACCACTTTTTATGATGAAAAAGATAGTGTACCAAAAGTGGACAATGGACAAGTTAGCGGACTAAAATTGAATTTTTGCCAACAACTATCTGTTCCTTTATTTTATGATATTGCATATATATATATATACCATTTGAAACCATTTCTGATCGACGGTCAACTCATCAAAGAAAAAATTCAAAACTAGTCACACAAATACAAGTGCCATTTTTGGTCCCGCATTGAAACAAAAAATAGTCCCACAACTTTCAAAAATTAATGAAAAGTATGACTTTTGATGCGATTTCTGGCCTGAAATACCCGAAAAGCCATGTGGCGCAAAGGTGACGTTTTTTCTTGACACGCTGAAAACAGTCATCACATGTGGCATGACACTAAACTTGTGGAACTATTTTTGAAATTTTCTTGTTTTTTAATATTGTTATTTTATTCTTTAGTTATATAAATTAATATGTACATAATTAATATAAATACATTACTAAATAAATCTAAAACAAGATTATGACTATATACAATTATTTATTATAACTATTTATAAACAATTTTAATCATGAATAAGGATACAATAAACATTAAAATAAAATTATGAAATATTTTTAATTACTTTTATTTTGTGATGCATTATTTTTAGTAGGTACTCTTTTAGCTTTTTTTTTAATATTAATTTAGTATAAATTACAAAAAATAGTTTTATTCATGAGATAATTATAGTTTGCATGTTTACTATATTTTTAATTAAATAATTATAAAATTGGAAACACAAAGTTAGAAATGTGAATATCGATAATACATTTCAGCTATTGTACAATGCTTCAAACATTTTTTTCTTAGAATTATTCTTTTCAATAATATCCGGGATTATGGATGTCGATTTTCTCAACTCGTGTCATTTGTGGCGGAAAAACTACAAGGCTAAGACGTTTATATGTCTAGATAAATAAATAATTTAATTACTTTTTCTTTTTTAGTTTATTCTTGCCATTTCGGATGACCAAAAATGATTTTAGAAGTATTATATGAATTCTTTATCAATACTTCTTAGAATTATTTTTTTAATAGGTAGCTTACTTAAATTTTAAAATCTTTTGAACACTGTCCAATTTTTAAATTGATTTATTATAAAATATTCTCATTTGAAATATATATCTACTTTTTTTTGGTAATTTTATAATTATTTATTAAAAATATAGTAAAAAATGTTAACTATAATATTAAATTATTATAAAATTATAAAAATTATTTTATTCATGACTAATTATAGTTTACATTTTTTATTCATGATATATCTTTTTGGTAAATTTATAATAATTTAATAAAAAAATATAGTAAGTGTTTTTGTAATTTTATAATTATTCAATAAAAAATATATAAAAAGTTAATTACGAAATTAAATTATTATAAAACTACAAAAAAAATTTTGTTCAACTTATCAAGTGGCATGCCAGATGGAGGGCCACCCAGTTGAAGGGGAGGTCATAAGTATCTATACCGTAAAATTGATTTTCGACGTAATGAAAAAGACATATATGGTATGTTTATAAAAATTACAAAAATAGTATTATTCATAACATAATTATAGACTAACATTTTTATTCATGACATAATTTTTTTTTGTAATTTTATAATTATTTTGTAAAAAATATAATAATTAGTAAAAAAAATTAACAATAAAATTAAATTAATATAAAATTACAAAATATTTTTGTTCATGACAAAATTATAGTTAACATTTTTATTATATATTTTTATTAAATATTAATAAGATTATAAAAAAAAATATGTCATGAATAAAAAATCTTAACAATAATTATTTGATGCGAAAAAAATATTTTTGTTTTTTGTAATTTATAACATTTTAATATTAAAAATATAAAAAATAATATAATTTTCAAAACTAGTCTCATAAGTTTAGTGTCATGCCACATGTCAAGAAAAACACCACCTTTGCGCCACATGGATTTTTTAGCCTTTCGGGCTAGAAATCACATCAAAAGTCCTACTTTTGATTACTTTTTGAAAGCTATAGGACTATTTTTATTTTCACAATTTTGCGGGACAAAAAATGGCACCCCCTATATCTGTGGAACTAATTTTGAATTTCTTCCTATTATAACACCCATATACAGTTGTTAATTAAGTATAAAAATATTTAAAATTTTAAAATAAATAATAAGAATTTAATTTAAATTTTTAAATACTTTTAAAAAAACTTTATATTATTTTTATTTATAATTATATCTGTCACCTATATAACTATCTCATAAAGGTAGACATATTTTTATTTTTTTTAGTTCTATATATGCAACATGGACACTACTAGAAAACATCAATTTCCAATAGAAAATACCAATGATAATATATTCCTACAGAATTTTAATGAAAATCCCAACGTTGTTGGAAAATTCTATCGACAATTGCAATGGAAAATATTCCGTTGAAATTGGATTTCTATTGAACTTTTTATTGGATTCTAGCAATTTATGCAACAGATTTTAAAAAGGTTGGAATCATTTGTCAAAGTTTAATCAGATTGTATATTCCAAGTTTCCAACAGAAATTTCTAAAATAATCATTGTACTAAAAATTGGCTGAAAAAATCGTTCAGGTGGACCTAGGCGCTCCTAGGCGGGTAATAGGCAACAACGGTTTAGGAAATCCCCTAAGTTTAAGGATGATGTGATAAAATTTGGTATGGATTATAACGTGATTATCAATTCAAATTTGCAACTATGCCATAGTAAAGATGGAATAAGGTGGGAATTAATTCAGTAAGGCGAAGTCGAACTTCCTCGTTCTTTTATATATAAAATAAATCGTTCCCTGAGTGTTT